TGCAAAATAACGATCTAAAGTCGAACCATTCGAGCCACAATATTAACATAAAAATGACTTTCGTTGCATTTGACAATGATAAACTTACCGAAAAGCCGTGTTTTTCTCGGTCGGTATAATCCGCCATTTTATTTAAGTGTGTTTGCCATCAGACTCTGCCCGGTGACGCCATCATGTGCGCTATAGAAGGTCTGTGATTCGTTGACTAAAATCGTCGATAGTGGGTCTCGTTGAAATCTCGTTACATAGGCATCGGTTCAGATGTAGGTAGGGCGGAATTAAAAAAAATCACAAAATCAAAGTAAAATAATAAAATAAAAGGGCATTAATAACAAAAGTAATAAAAAATAAAATTAAAATAAGTTTATAGCCAAAATAATTAAAGCCCGTACACTACATCAGATTTTAATCAGATTGGTATAACATTGAATATATTATTGGCATGCAAAAAGCAGGAACATTAATTCAATTTATTTTTATCTGTCTACTGATTTACTGATGGACCTTCTGGCTCTGTATTACAAAAATGAACAAATTTACAAAAGTTCAGCTCCATAGTTGTGTGTTTAATCTTATTCAAATATACCTGGTACTTAATATTTTATGTCAGACTTTCAGACTCATTGGATAATCAATGCTTCAAATTATTTAATATGTATTTTATCTGACAGTAGTATTTACATTTTTTATTACAAGAAAACTTGTACATAGTATACTATACAGTGGTATACTATATTTATCCGACAGTATTGCATGTAAGTCGAAATACGTTTCGTTTTGGTGTGATTTAAGAACTTGCTTATTTAAATCCAACATGGCATTTATGTAAGCATGTGTTCTAAATGAGCAAATATTGCTGTTAGCGTAATTTGACTAACAAAACATAATATGTAGTGACACAGTGTCTTTCTTTATGATTAGCTATTGACATGGACTACTATTTTCCACACTCATTATAGTCCAAAAAGAACGAAAGTGAAAACCCTAGCAATTGCATAGAAATGGTGACTGTTTCCATGGAAACAAATAATGTTATAGAGCAAATAATACAATATTTCAGTGGTCACTTTAATTGTTGAAAATCTGAATTAATTAGCCTCCTATTCAAAACCTGTGGCTTGCAATTGTCCAAAATCAAGTACTCCAACAATTCAGAGAATTCCTGGGTCATGTTCTAATACATCTAGACTGCATCCATTGTACTTTATGCCCTGGATTTAGCACAGTATTGTGTGGAGAGACAAGTAAAATTACAACAAAGACAGTCGTATCGTTTTCGGTATTGTTTAATTTCATTGGGGAAAAAAGTAGTATTAACGTTCTCACTTTGTTTTAGTATGTGGAATCTTTCAATCTGCAATTTTTTTCATTAGGTTAGGATACAGATATTTGCTTGTAATTCCAGACTTATTAAATAACTTTAATAAATCTGTAAACAGATTTACAGTTTGTATCAGTTTTATATGTATTTTGTTTGGTTTTTGAAGAGTGTAGGTGATGTTAGTAGCATCATTGCAGGATATCGAAACACAGTTTGTTTGCAGTGAAAATACATATAATGCAACTGTGAAGTCAGTATCTTGTGTATAATTTTCTCACCCAGTGTTTTTATGAATTTTTTTTTGCATAAACAAATTTTTATATAAAAAAAATATTTCTCTTCATGAATTTTAACCAAATTTGTTGGTTTTCATTTGAAAAATCTGGTTTGGGGGAAGGGGAGGGTTGGTTTGTGCTTTGCAGAATTATGAATATTTATCGAGTTTTCATCTTAATAGTAGTAGACATTTTGTAAGTAGACTTCTACTGATGTCAGTATTGGCAACAGGAGGCTGAAGTTTGAAATCCTATTGTTCATCAAAGTTGTGTAATTCAGCTGAATTTGTGTACCTAAGGAAAAACTTAGAATAAATGATATTTTGAAATCAGTGTTGTAGCTTTAATTGACCTTAAAGTGTCTGTAGTGTACTTGCAAGGCAACATTTTCCAGTAACTTAGTTTCAAATCCACATATTGCACTATACATGCAATGATTAAATTGATGTGATAAATGCTTTATAACTGCTACATGTATTTATATAGATGACTGTCCATCTCCCAAATCCCAGCAAATGAATTTCTTAATCAGTCCTAGTTGTGTATGGATCGTGGTATATTTATTTCTGTATTTTCAGTCACCACTGGACAGTCCAAAACATAAGGTTGTATTTTGGGTTCTGTTCATCTATCATTTCTCAGAATTACCTAAGCCAAATTTGTTTGAAGTTGGCGCAAAAATGATATACATGCCAATTTAATTTTCAATGTTCTTTGACCAACTTGACGTGTCTTAGGAAAACCTGGGTCGATTATATTCAAACTTGGTATGAACATCACACACTGTAAGTAGTGATGTACCCGAGCTTGTTTTGTGATGTAATGCTAAATGACCGACTGTAGGTCATGTTTTCTTTATTTTCATTTTAACCTTTTATTGAACAAGTTTTGGACAATATTTTTTTTTATTATTACTCAGTGAATTACTTTTCCCTATTTCATATGCAAATTAGCCATGATGCTGAGAGGTTTATAACTCCAAGCCTTGTACATGAATCTAATATCAGTCACAGCTTTCGGTCTTTGTCATGTTCAGTCTGTGGATAACTTTAATATGCAAATTTTGTAAACAATAGGAACAAAGCCTGAAATACAATTAGTAGCATTGGTCAGTTTCAACTAAATTGTGTCATGCAAATGTTGAGATATTGGAATCCACCCAGGTAGCACGTCATTGGTCAGTTTTAACACTATTGTGTCATTCAAATGTTGAGATATTGGAATCCACCCAGGTAGCACGTCATTGGTCAGTTTTAACACTATTTTTTTTTTTTTTTTGCTCTTCCAATTGTTGTAATTTTCTATTTAAGTTGTTCTCTTTGTTACGCAAATTCCTTTGCTTGTTTTTACTATAAATAATGGTTTTCTCTCTGATTTTGAATATTAAATATTCGAATGTTTGTTGAGCATTGTAACACAAACAGTTACACTCTCTCTGTACTTCAATGATCAAAGCATCAATTTGCGCGACATAAATTTCATCGTTTAAAAGGCTATTATTAAACTTCCAAAATCCGGGACCTCTTCCACAATCAGGAATTTCAAAGGTCATAAGGATCATGCTATGGTCAGTATGAATGCTTGGCATAATATTACAACTTTTGACAGAGTTTTGTAACCGTTCGGGAACCAAAAAGTA